ACACCACAATTAATGCATTTCTTGTTAAATGCTGGGCACTGCCTTGCCCCATGTTTGTAACCACATTTTTTACAATCATATTCTTTTGCTTTTTGTAGTTGCTTGATCTGATTACTTGTTGATTGTTCATTTTGTTGTTCATAAGCACATTTGAACGTTTTGTTCTTAGTCGAATAATTAAGGTTCTTCAATTTTTCATTTTTGCATTTTACTAGGTCAACAGACTTATAATCATCTTTGTTCATCATTACTTGATTTAGCATTGCTGTTTCAGTTGCTCTACAATGATCAACTATTTTATCAAGAGTCGTGTCAGGTGTTCTCAGCAACCTTTCTTGTAATTTTAAACCACATACTACAAGGACAACTCTTACTTTTAAAATATTATCTTCTTGATCACCAAATTCACACTTTTTAGCCATTTTTTTAAGTTCAATGAAGAACTTGTCAAAAGGTTCTCCTTCAGCTTGTTGTCGTTTAAAGAATTTAAACTGTTCAGCTATAATACTTTTTTTTGGCTCAACATACTTTTGAAGCTCATCAAATATTGATTGAACAGTCTCCTGTTTCAAGTCAAACGCTTCAACTACTGAATAAGCTTCTTCATCCAAGCCACTTTTCAAGTGAGCTACTTTCACTTTTTCATTCTTCTTATTAAGTTCATTAGCATCGAGATAATTAAAAAATTGTCTTTTGAAATTATTAAATTCATTATATAACGACTCCGCAGTACCAAAATTTAATTTTGGCAGTTTTACTGAGGCCATTGTTTTTATCCGATTTAATCGATAATATTTATATTTCTCCTCAGTTGAAGTCAAATCCTATGACTGCGCCATGTTTCGTTGATGATATTTTAATTAATAAAATAAATACAACATTTATTAAAAACAGAAACAATATTTATTATATGTATTTCCACAACTATATATTAATAATGTATGGTGTGCTACTTGCTGTGTACATGTATATATATGATAACCTTATCAAACAGTATACATATATAATAATCACTTAATTATATATATAGTAAAGTGACTTAAGTACGAAAATGTATCATACACGTGGTAAAACCGTATTTTGTGGGCCTCGGATTAGTTTCGTATCGTCATTTTTCGACACTACCTCCACGTTCCAGGAGTAGGTAATTTGCACTCCTAAGCCTTCCCTGTAGCCATTTTTCAGACTTCCTCTTTGCAATCGAATCCTAATTCCTCATTACAGCGTAATTAATAATACAAAAATGATCATGTTATTCATGTGATCTTTTCCGTTGATCTTATGTGTTCTTGTTGGACGTACTGGTGAAATGAAGATAGGCAGATGTCGTCAAGTTCATTGAAGCTGCCATTAAGCGTAATTGATGTCACAGGTTCTATTACGATTAGCTTCCAGTGATTTATATTGTGTATTGGTTTTAGCACTCTGTCCGCTCTAAAAATATGTATGTTTTTGGTCCATCTTCGTATCCTTTTATCTGCTCCAGTAGCAATTGCTTGATAGAAAAATATATCGAACACGGAGATATTTTTATGAGCGTTTTTAATAAGCGTGAAGTATTTATTAATTTTATTATCGTCATACTAAGTTGTGTACATCTTTGCATCATCATCAAACAGTTTTAATGCTCTGAGGTTTAAACTTTTTTCGTACTTTGACCAGTCAATTTCTCCATTATCCCAGAGATATCATTCTCCATTATCATCGTCAAAGTTTTCGATGTGGGGCGGTGTATAATTTAAGAGTTGGATGGGAGATCTCAACAAGTTTTCGGTCCATTTTTCAATCGATTCCATGTCGGATTAGGTTGGCATTTAAGTACTAACTGTGAGGTTGATGTCGTAATGCATTTTAGACGATGAGAACCGTGTATAGTATGAACTGATGCTGATGTGGCATGTGCAGTAAATAAAGGGGAGTAGGAAGAGAGACAAAAGGTAATGTGGGACAGAGAGTGAAATCATAAATAAAAAAGCGCTTAGGCAGTCTTTTTCGCTCTTCTCCGGTTGACGGACCATCTAACTGGTGGCCTGGGGGGTGACGTGTTTTGCTTAATTTTTTTATATAATATAATCGACATTATTGCCAATACTATAAAAATGCAAAATGCCACTTTTATTACAATTATCACGGTACTTTTAGTGTCATCAAAGTTTTTACTTGCTTCTAAGTGCTCAATAATTTTGTAAAGTTTATCTTATCCATATGGTTAATCTTAAGTGTTGAAAGATTGTTTATTATGTCGAGTGTGAGAATTTTGTTTTTTGATAATACTTCGCTGACGTTATTTAGTAATATTAAGTTTATGTTTATTTCTGTTACTTGGATTGACGTGTTTAGAATAATATTTTGTTCAATGACAGGGGAAATAAATTCGCTCTCGTGAATTATATCACAGTGTTATGAGTTTTTTTATAAGACTGGTATTTGTTAATTTAGCCGTGTAAATGTTAGCGCTTAACAACACTTATAAATTATTTCTTCATCTTTATCGGTACAGAAGTAAATGTCTTTATTGCTTTATATAAATATTGGTGAATGTAAGTCTGCGTCTATTGTTTTTTTGCAAATTCCAACCTTATTTTATACCCCAAATCTTCCCACCTGATTTGACTGACGATGTTGTCTTCTAGATTTTCAAAGAATTGTAAAGCCGTACCTTCCAAAAAGGCTGGTAAAAATTGAACTTTTTCTTCATCGGTCCATTCATTTATAATGCTGGCTCTCTTGTATCGTTTAAAAAACAGGTCTATGCTTTCGCGGATTTCTCTCCTAAACTGACCTGGCTTAAAGAATGGCTCTCTACGATTCTTGTTGTCATCACTAGCCATGTTTTTGGTGTGTAATACGGTAAAAGACTCGTTAAGATCTACAAAGAAATCTTCCGGCAACCACTGACCTTTTATATACCTAACCAACCGGTTTTTCTTTTGCTCTAGAGTGCCGGTAGTGGTTAGTTTTCTTTTGTTTAGTTCAAATATGGCTTCGTCTGTATTCAGCTTATGTGCCCAACCTGCCTTGTAAGATAAACGTTCGTTTTATTCTGGCGGTGTTGGATTAAGCTCGATGAGTGATTTAATGTTTTCTTCTTTGGCCATCAAGTGTTGGATAAGTTGGTTTAATAATAATTTTTCTTATACTATAACAACAACCCTAACGTAATATATAAACGTTACCTTTGATGGGCGCCACTTTGTCGTAACACAATAAGTGGGAAGTGGAATGTAATGTGTACGAAGATGAAGATGAGGATGTGGTGCCTGCTGTCTAGGTATTCACGTGCGTGTTGTCGTACAGCAGTCACCGTGCTCAGCTAACACTCCGGGTTATCTGTGGGTGTCGAAAGGCTGTTGTTATAGGAAGGCAATAAGGGTAATGTTATAATATTGTTTATTTAGACTATAATAAAATGTGAACAAATGAAAAAGTAATTATATTATATTAATTAGACATGATATTACAATTAATAATAGTTATACATAAGACAGTATATATGAGTTACACAAGACACAAAGTGTATATTATCAACAATGATAACAGTCTGACCAGTTATGTAACATGCTCTTTTTTTTTTTTTTTAAATCTGTTATAAACAATCAAGTATACAAATACAACAATTATAATATATACAATAGTAAGATATAATAACAATTTAAATAATTAATTAAATGATAGTACAAATACTACAAATATCTCTTAGGTTTTACGATTTTTCTACCATACCTATTAATCTCAGACTGTCTATTCACTGTAGTATTGAGATCCTTATTAAAAATTAAATTTTTATATACCTCAGTGTTAACAAGTTTAGGTTTTAGAAAAGAATTAGTGACAGGAATTTTAGTTCTTAGATTTCTAGACATTAACAGTTGTGCTGGAGAACACAATTTACCTTTTGGAGTATTTCTGTATTGTAATAAAGCAATATGAAGATCTTTTCCCGAATCCATTGCTTTTTAAAAATAGTTTCATAATTTTCATCCCAAAGCCAAGTTGTATCTTTTTTAAGTAAAGAGCGTAGACTTGCAGTTTCATCTGCTAAATTAGGAATATAGTTTTGTGTTCTTTATTATTCTATTATTTATTATTAGTAAACACAAATTAACACATTATTTAATTATTAACATTTCTTTATTAAGGCATGATACACACGTTAAAACACTCGAACATTCAATTCTTTCTCTTATCAACAATTACAAGTATTACAACGTATCATTCAATTAGTAGTGATACCAACATAAAACATCACATCCTTCCCCACTAAAATTAAAAATATATATCCTTTAAGATCACTACTTATAAACTTAACAGTACAACAAAAAAAAAATACAATATTTATGAAACTAACAACACTTATGAAATTTAACAAAATTTAATAAGTTAACAATATTTGTAAGTTAACAATACAACAAATAAGAAATACAATATTTATGCCATTAACAATTTTATGGGTTTTTTTTATAGTTCTTTTTGATCTTCTTAGTTTACTTTCTTTTTCACTTCCTAAATTATCAGTTTCCTTTACCTTTTCCTCCCTCATCTCACTTTTTTGTTTAAGTAATTGATCCACATGTCTTTTCATTTTACCAATTTTCGTATCCACTAGAAAAATAACTTTTCCTAATTTATTTTTTATTTTTCCTTCCAACCATTTCTGTCCTTTACCATAATTTCTAGCTAATACCCTATCTCCTATTTTAAAATTTGTTTTTCTGTTACCTTTATAATTGTTTTTCTGATATTCCTGACTTAGTCTGACCTTATCTTTCACGTTTTCCTGAATAATCATTTTTGTTTTATTATTGAATTGATTTAAAATTAGATCAAATTTATTTTTTAATTTTCTATTTAAGTGTAATTCAGCTGGACTTTTGCCAGTGGTACAATGAACAGTGTTTCTGTAATCTAATAAAAATTTACATGATGCCTGTATGACATTATTTTCATTATCTAAAATTTTTTTTATTTTGTCCTTGAAAATACCAACCATATTTTCCGCTGCCCTGTTACTCTGCGGGTGATAAGGAGGAGTCAATATGTGTTTAATAGAATTATTCATAATGAATGTCTGAAATTCATCTGAGATCCATTGTGGCCCATTATCAGTGACTAAGGTTTTACTAATACCATAACGAGCGAAATATTCCCTTAAAATATTTATTGTATGGGAAGAAGTAGTAGATGACATTTTTGTGACTTCTGACCATTTCGAATATTGATCAATTATTAGAATAAACATAATTTTATTTAATTCTAAAAAATCAGCATGTACCTTTTTACCTGAAACGCTAGGATACTCCCACACTTGCAAAGGGGACTTGCCCGGCTCTTTCCTAAATTTACTACACGTATTACAAGAAACTATTAATTCCTCAATGTTTTTATTTAATTGTGGCCGCCAAAAATAATTCCTAGCCATTGTTTTAAGTTTAACAATACCAAAATGAGTACTATGAAGTTCCCTCAAAAAAATTTGTTGTAATCTTTTTGGCACAACCAATTTATGTCCAAGAAAAATACAGTTTTTAACAATGGTTAATTCATTTTTATGTAAGTAGTATGGCCTAACCAGTTCCTCTTTGATTTTATTTTTTGGCCAACCCATTAAAACATATTGCTTAATTTCTTTTAAAATTTCATTAGATTCAGTTTCTTTTTGAATTAAAACCTTGTTTATACCTTGAAAATAACTATTGATAAAGTGAATAGTTGGGGTATCAATTTCATTATGATTTGTATTCTTAATAGCTAATCTAGATAAAGCATCCGCACTTGAATTTTCTGTTGATTTAACATACTTAATACTATAATTATAATTTGCTAAAAATAAGGCATACCTTTGTAGTCTATTCGCAGCCACTTGTGGTAGACATTTGTTTTCATGAAAAATATGAGTAAGAGGTTTATTGTCACTTTTTAAAATAAAATGTCTACCAAACAAATATTGATGAAATTTTTTTACACAAAAAACATTAGCTAACGCTTCCTTATAAATTTGAGAGTATTTCAGTTTAGCAACATTTAAAGTTCTAAAGGTATATGCTATAGGTCTCTCTTCATTATTAGGTAAAATATGTGAAATTACACCACCTACACCATAGGAACTAGCATCACATGCTAAACTAATCTTATAATTGGGATTGAAATGCATTAAAATAGGAGCAGAAGTTAAAAAGTTTTTTATTTCCTTAAAAGCATCATCACACTTTTTATTCCACACAAACAAATTATCCTTTTTTAATAATTGATACAGTGGAAATAATATATCAGTACTATTTTTAATAAATGTTCTGAAATGTTGTGGAAGAGAGTAGATAGGTTAAAAAGGAAAAAACAAAGACTTAACTTTAAGAAGTAAGCCGGACAGCGACAACCCAGTACTGAGACTAATGAATGACGCTAGGCACTGAAGTCGACTGACCAAGATGGACAGGTCTTTTGGGTTTTTATAATAATTTGAACTATTGCCAATTGGGCAATAAATATTATTTGTTAATTCATCAGTCTCAAGAAGCGGAGGATGTGCTGTTTGTATTTTATTATAATAATTCTCACAATAATGATAACGTGACTAAAAATAAACTACATCACAGGACTCCCTGTAAAATTACAATACAAATTGATGAGTCACACAAATGTGAAATTTTTTTCCAACTTTAAACCCAAATTCAGGGGAGGGCACAAAAGTTACAAAAAATCGAGTGACCACTCAATTTGTATGAGAATTTTGCGGAGAATATTGTGGTATGATTTATTTTTAATTATATAGTAATTCGGGGGGGGGGGGAATTATTACAAAATTCCTCCAATTTTGGAAAAAAAATTAACGTAGTCCTATTTTACACTTTACCAGGATACTCGCCCATATATTACTATGGTTGGAAAGATTTACACTACTGTAAATCTAATACTAACTACTGTATCCGCTTTAATCCCTTCTGGATTTGTTATTTCAGTAAAGTTATTTTTATATAAAATTATATATTTTAATATAATATAAATAAAAACGTTTCACGATATTTTTACAAATCTAGTAATTTTTTATTCAGCATATTTTTGAGTTCCTTTTTTAATATAATTTTTATAGCTTTTGATCATATTAAATGTATGTTTATTATTTTTTTTCTAATTAAAATATAATAATAATACATTTTTTTTTAAATTTTAAAATAGCATTTTTTAGCTCTTTCTTATGAAAATTCTGATAGGTTAATATCAATTTTCTTATTAGAGACAAATAATAAAAACATGTTATTAACATAATCCAAATCTAAAATTTATTTTTAAAAAAAAGTAAAATATTCGCTTAATCAAAAGTTATTAAAGTTGTCAAAATGTCGTGGACAACTCTATAAATTTTATGTCATTAATTTTTTTTTTAACTTTATAAATTAATAAATAATGTTTAATGCATACTGATTTGTTAAACTTATATTACCATTGTTATCATTCACGTCATCCTCTAAAATAAATATAGTTCTTTTAATTTGTGCGTTGATTTTAGGGAAATTAATTCAAGGCCGATATTAAGACTTACGAGGATCCGCGCAAATGTAATAATGACAAAATCTTCGCAATTTTTCAACAGCGTTAGACAACTAAAAATTTTGCTGAATTTTCATTTTTATATCTAATTCAAAATTTTGAAAATAATTCATTTACTTTCTTCTTCATAAAAAAAATACCTCTCGATATTTAACAATGTGCACTCTAAGAATACGAATAACTTTATTTAATTAATGATAATTTGTTATAATTCATTTTTTTTTTTTTTTTTAATTCAAAGAAACATTATTTTTGGTCCAGTCGTATCCATTTATAAATAAAAAAATTAGAATATCAGCAATAATATTCTAGTAATTATTGGGGTAAAAAATTATATTGTATTGCATCATAATTAAGATTTGTTATTTTATTGTTTTAGTTTAAGTTAGTTAAGATTACCTTATTCTAAAAAAAATAATTTTATCCCATGTAAGATTTAAATAATTTTTTCCTGTGAGATAAGCATTTTGCATAATTTTATTTGTAAAGCTTTAGCTACACAGTTGTTGAGCACATTATTTAAATATTTTATTAATTAGACATCAAAGGCCAGTTGTATTTTTTTTTTAATTAAATTTGTTTTTGTTGTAATTTCATTTCAATTAAAATAAAAGAATTAATTTGTGTAGTCAATCTAGTTTGTAAGTAAAGTAAAAACATGACTTCTCCAAAGTTGAATCAAGTGCCAGCAATTGTAGATTTTAGGCAGTATCGATTTTTAAAAAGACAAAAAGAAATATTTGTAATTGAAATAAAGGCAATTAAAAGGTTTATAATACATTTTTCCAAAATCCAGCACTTTGGATCAAATTGACACAAGATCAGATTAAGTTGTAGGTTTGTTAAAGGAGTTTCTTGCAATACTTGATGAGTTAAAAGAAATTGATAATGATGAGACAGCAGTTAGATATAGAAAAAAATTGGAGCTTAAAAAATTAATTTAAGACACTAGAGCTGCAATTATGGAGTTGAAGAAAAAATGTAAAAGATAACTGTCAGTAACTAGTCAGAATATCAACTTATATTGAATCAATAAAATTGCCACCTATAACAGTCCCTAAATTCGATGGTAACTGACAGGACTGGTTAGAATTTAAAGACTCTTATGAGCCATGTTCCATAAAAATGAGACATTATCAAATATACAGAAGTTCCATTACCTTAAGACGTATTTAAGTGGTGTAGCCATGGAGGTAGTAAAAAATATACTAACTACAGACTACAATTATGAAGCAGCATATAAGAACGGTTCATTAATCGAACGGTATGAGAACAAAACTCTTATAATTCAGTCTCATGTACGTTTATTGTCCTAAAACAACATTTCTCTGTTTAAGTGAATTGAAGTATGAAGCTGAGCAATACTTTCAAGATACATTTAAAATTGATTATTTAGGGAGGTGTGAAGTTTTTTTTCAATTTAAGCAGCATCCTAAAGACCTTGGTTCATCAAAGACTATGGCAGAACGTAGGTTTTGTAATTTAGAAGTAAAATTGTCAACAAATTCTGAATTAAGCAAAAAATATCACAATTTTATGAAAGAATATATTGAAATATGGAAATGGTAAAAATAGTCAAAGTGGACAATATTTACCTCATCATGCTATTATCAAAGAAGATAGTTTGACAACTAACACAACAGTGGTGTTTGATGGTTTAGTAACAACGACAACTGGTTTGTCATTAAATGCTATTTTACTGCGAGGACCTAACGTAAAACCTGGATTGTTCAACATATTAATTCGGTTTCGAATTCATCACATAACCATAAAAGCATATATTCTTTCGTTCAAATTTTACATAACTTATGTCAACACTATCAGTATCTACTGATGATAATTATGCTCTATATTTATTTGAAGATGATACTATCATTACATTGGGTTTAATTTGGCAACCTAACAAAGACATTTTTAGACTTAAACCCAGTACTTTGACATCTCCAGATTTCATGACAACGCGTCCATTATTATCAAATTTACATAAGGTATATGACTCATTGGGTTATTTAACCAAAGGAAAAATACTCTTATAACAACTGCAGGCACTTAAAAATCAATGGGGATACTGCAGTATCATCAGACATACAGAAACAATGAAGTCATTTATACAACAGTTTAAATACACTTGAATATCAACTGTTCGTTGTAGTGATAAAATCCACATTGGATTCAAGTACTAGTACAGTCATGGCCAACAACAAATTTTGTAGCATTAAGTATACCCAAAGTAAAGACTATTATGCTAGTATTAACAGTACAGCATGACAGATCATTACTAGAGAAATGCTTGAGTTGGATTTAATTATTCAGAATAACTGCATGGTTGTATAAATTTAAAACCAACAAGTTTAACATCTCGTGTCAAAGGTTACCTTAAAGCTAGAGAATTGTGGAATTCAGAAGTATTTTGGTTTCACATTTCTCAATCAAGTGCATAGATATCATAATAACATCACTATTACTGATGGTTATCGTAGCTGATTCCAAATAGTTTGGATTAATGCGAGAAACAAGAAGATTTATCATAACAAAAAAATTTAACAAGCTACAGAGTGTGGTGGTCCTCTTTCACTTGTTAGAGAGTCAAAAACGGTTTTTTGCTAGGCCAGTGATGGACGGTACGAGTATTAATAACTACTTCACTTGATATTAAAGCTGTTTTTTTTTTAGATATTAGATGATTTAATATTGTGATATCAAATATGAAATATAGTTAGTTATAAATTCTCATTAGCATAATTCTTAAAATATGTGTGTCAGATCCCCATGACAAAACTATAAGCCGTAAAAACAATTGTTTTTTTTTTATGGGATGAAGAAAATTTATTATGCATGAAAAAATCTAAATTGTTTAATTATGCTGATAAAAAACTACATGGTATTTTTATTTTTTACTATGAATATCAGATTATAATTATAACTCTTGATAATTTGTCTTTCGAAATTTAATAGCAAATTATATTATTTTAAGGGATCATCTTAGTGTGCTGCTATAAAGTATAATTGACAGAAAAATTAAAACTTCTTACTAATTTAAAACATCTACATTCAAGAGTTTAAATTTTAAAAAATGTATTTGATTTATTAAATATTGTAAAATATTTATATTAGTTAATTAATTATTGTATTTAAATAATATTATTTATTACATTGTATAAGCATGTTAATTTTAATATATAAAGCATGTCAAATTTGCTCATTTTTTAAAAATTAATTTTAATTATTATTTTGTTTTTTATTACTTTTCTTGGTAATTCTTACATACGGAAAGCGTCTTCATGATCAGCAGTTCATAGGATTATATATTTGAAATATTTAAATTATATAAATGAGCATTATGGATCACTGGTATAACAAAAAAATAAATAATGTTATTATTTTAAATAACTTTGAACAAATTTTTATAGCAATAAACAGAAATATACTTTTTAAAGACCTTGTACAAATATCTATAAAGTATTATTGATAAATACTAATTATCAGCTATAATGTACAATAAATACTACAGCTATACATTATTTATAATATTTATATTGCGGACAACCCAATTTACAGCAGATATAATTAATACTTTAATTATAAAATAGTTTCAATAAATGAAAAATAATGTTTATTAAATTAAATGTCCTGAAGAATATAAAATAATAAATTAGTTAAAACATTTTAACTTATAAAAAATATGCCCCATATTTGTACCTCTAAATTTGAGTAAATTTAAAATCTATTATTAAATTTTACATTAGTGGTCTTACAACTTTCAATATTTTTATTGTCATAAATCAAGAAGTAAAAGTTGAAACAAAATAATTTTGATACATAATAATGTGTCTCACGTAAATAAAAAAACGTTAATAACTTATAAAATATTGGTCCAAAAGTTGTTACCCATAAATCATTTTCAATTTTATAAGATAGTTAAATATGTATGTTGTCTTTATAAAGTAATAATGTTGACACTCTTATAAGGGAAAAATATGGAATGACTACTCTATATTACACGTGCACGATGCTTATCATGTATTGTAGTAACACTTAAATTGCATGTTGACACGACTTACGTCGCAATGATGAAGTAGAAACTGGTTTTGAGGGTAGATAACCGTTTATTAATGAACAACAACAGGTTATTAAAATAAAAAACCCGAAAAGATGTACACAATTAATAATAATCTTTGCATGTAATCGCGTCACTTTCACTGGCGTCGACGACACGAATCCGACATGATCCTCGGGTGTCTAAAAGTTAGCAGCGATGATGGCGTCGGTTAGTCAAGTCCAGTCTTGTGACATCCGGAGCCGGTGGCGTACATCTTTGACGTTGTCGTTTTGACAACAGGAAGAAGACTCATCATCGGCCGTGTGACACTCGTTGGACTTCGCACTCTGGTGTCAATGTACTAACTAATACATATACTCAATATAATGATGTCATTAAAACAGTTTTCTTCTATGGATAAGATAAAAAAATAATACTTTTTACATAAAATTAACTACCTTCCCAAATTCCGTATAACCCCCACGAAAAATATTCTATCATATTAAATGAAAAAATGTATAAATATATTTTAAATAATAGTTCATAATCAATTTATTTATTTTATCGAATAATTGTATTTAATTAAAAATGTTTTTTACCTTCATTATTACAATTAATAATTAAGTGTTTTCAAGTGTAAAAGATCGCCCCACAGTATCGTTTTCTAAGATGAGAATGTGCACTAGACAATAAGCGATGTAATATGGGCATATTTAAAGTAAAGTATATCGTCCTAGGAATAGTCATTTTTGGGAAAATCGCTAAAGTCATATAGTTTATTGCCATGTTCATCATCGAGTATTTTTGATATTTTTGCAATAATTCTCAAGCCATCATCTTTTCAAAAACTTTATTTAGCTTAGTAATAATTGGTTTCCCGTGATTACCTTTTAATGTAGAAAATGTCTGTTTTACATTTTGAACCACATAGTAAAACATCTTTTTTTTTTTGTAGTCCTATAATAGCTTTGGTAAGAATTTCAAAATTACTTTTTATATAAACCAAATTGGTATGAACTTGGTTTATTCTTACAGTAAAAAAGTAATAATTAGACAATTAGAAGCCCCTTTTAGTCTCCCTTTTAAATACGTCAATGCCGTGTTAAAAATAATCAAAATATTTTTAAAAAATTTCGTTAACGAAAAATTTATCTGATAGTGATTAAAATCACCATTATAAAAATGGTTCCTTGCAAATTTGTAGATAGTGTTTAATTTTAAGAAATTAGTAGATTTTTCCAAAAGCAACTTCAAATTCTATTTCCTTAATTATTATCTTTGTTGCGGCCTATGTTATATAGAACGGCCGCTCGAATAAATGGCACTTATCGCTTATTGTATATTTTATTTTAGTCCAGTACACCGCAATACACCTAGCTGTTAGGTGCGTTACGATATATATATATATTAATTAAATCACTTTCTACTATTGGATATATTTTGTATTATTAATAATAAATTAAAACAACTAAAAAACTCGGAGCGTACGAATAATTTTTATTTATTTAATTATATTCCCGTTCACCCATCAAACATCTGATTAAATATTCTTTGGTTTATAAGTATAACAACAATTTATTAAATTTTCCAATTTTTACATGAAAATCGTACTTATTTCTTTAACTTTGGCGTTCGTTTTAACCAGAAAAACAAGTCCAGAGGAAATTTTTTTTTTTTAATTTTGTATATTACATAAACTTTAATTTAAGATGTATGTAAATTAGTCGATAAATGTTTTGAATACTTTGAGTGACGACTGTTTTCTCATATCATGGGTTATTACAAATAATAGAACTATTAATACAGCAGAGAAGTAAATAAGAAACATGATCAATAAAATAAATGATTTATTTCTATACTTTTAGTTGAGCAGAATAGTTGAACAAATGTGCAAAAAACATGTGGTTTCGTATATTAATAACAACCAAAAATAATATTTTTCCTATTTTTTTAGTTAAATAGATAATCTATTATAACTATTTATTGAGAAATTTAGTAGCAATTTTAAAAGAACCAACTGCAAAACGTCAAGGCTTATTAATTTATAGACTTAAATTTCAGTTTTAAATGAAAACTGAAACAAAAGAAAACAAGTTTTTACTAGTATTATTAGTCAATGACGACAATAAAATATTTATATAAAAACTAGTTTCTGCACCTTCATCAATAGATAAAATGTGTACTCAGTTTTAAATAAGCATTATCAAATATTAAAATAAAATTTAATTTATTAGACGCTTTTATTGCCATTTTAAAAATACTTAAAAATGACGTTTTTTTAACATTAAAACAACATAGTATTGTTATAAAATAAATAGAATTTCAATTAATCTACCATTTCAACTATTTTACTTATCAAAATCATTCGAAAAAGCCGATTTATCAAACCAATAATGTATTTCTACATTTTAATTATGATGTATCTAGCCAATAGTTTTTCAAACGCAATTATTTTCAATTTTTATTATTGTAAAAGAGCGGGGAATTAATGGGGCACTTATCTCTCTTTTCATATATGACTACATCTTTGACACTAAATTTTGACAAAAATAATATAACAAAAATTAAGGTAAAAAATGATAAAAATATGAAGAACGGCGATTTATAAAAAAAAATAGTTTTGATTCATATGTTTTTCAGACATTTTTAGCAACTATTTTTCACTCCAAAAGGAATTGTGAATTAAATTTAATGCGTTGTATAAAAATGTTATTTTTATAAAAGATAAAATAAAAAATAATCTACATCTTAATAAACAATTAAATATTCCCAAAAATGAATTTTCTAATTACAAAACATTTAACAATTAACTTTTATTAAAACTTTAATAATATCGTTTTATCTCTTTTAAATATGGATAATTGAAAAAAATTACGTTTGAAAAACTAATTGTTAGATAAATCATAATGAAAATGTAAAAATACATTATTGTTTTGATAAATCGGCGTTTTCGAATGATTTTGATAAGTAAAATAGTTGAAATGGTGAATTAATTGAAATTCTTTTATAACAATACAATGGGGTCAATCCATGCCAAAATTTTTTTTTTTTTAAGACCTTCCCATTTTTATGGCTATTTCTATGTAAAAAATGTTAAAAAAACACACAAATTACTTATATTGACTAATATTTAAAAAAATTATTTTGTAGTTTTTTAATTATTAAATCTGCTTAATACACCGTAAAAATTTGAAGTTTGAGAAAAAAGTCTAACATGTAAAATGTAGCATTAGAAAATCAGTAAAAAAGCGCTCTAAATCAAATAATTTAGTAATAGTTTTTGTTGTTTTCAAACCACATTTTTTTAATTGTTTTATATATTACTGTATATGTAATTTATTGCGATTCAATATAATTATTATAAATCTTATAATTATTCAATTCATTATTTTAGTTGCAAAATAAAAAGTAAATAAATTAAATTATTATAATAATATTGTAAAATATTTTAATAAATAATCATGGTTTTATTCTAGTAGTAGTAGAATATTGTGTCTTTATAAATATCAGTTAATGATATCTTAATGCTTCTTATGGTACTGTAAAACTATTTATATCTCATTTAGGTGTTTTTCGTTTTATTGTACTTTTGAGGTGGGTATATTTATATATTTTATCCCTTTAATTTTTTCATAGCAAAATTATAATTTTGTAGACAAGATGAAAATAAAGCTTCCACTAGGTTAATAAACAAGCCACTCTTCTTCCTTTTGTTATTTATTATAAATAGACAATATAATTATTTGTCGATGTATATGTATAATTAGTGATCACATATAACGTAATAATGATTCTATTCATACATGTTAAAATCGCCTTATACAAGTCATCAAATTAACAGCTACGTCTGTAAAAAAAATTAATTGTATTAGTGAAGTTGCTTCGAGTCAATACAAAAATAAAAAAAAGATTTATTGATGATTTTGGTTTTAATGCAGAATGTCATTGCAAAAACGATAGCGATGAATCTTGATTCGAAGCACCGTAACTTAAATAATTAATTTTTTTTGCAAACGGAACTGTTAATTTGATGTCTTCTATAAGGAGATTTTAAAATGTAAGAACAAAAACATTATTATGTTCCATGCGATGACTAATTATGTTTCAATTTTACCACGAATAATCTGTGACTTCTTTATTCTTTTCTCTTCTTTTAACCATAAGAATATCTTCATTTAATTGTTCAAAAAGTATATTCTTAATCAAAATGACTTTCTTTTATCTTTGGTAATTGAGTTGGTTGTGTTTTTTCAAACTGGATATCTTCCTCGTCTGACCATTCCATAGTTAAGATTTTATCTTCATCATAATGACGACCCAATG